CCCCAAAACCCCAAAACCCCAAAACCCCAAAACCCCAATTTTCTTATAAAATTACCATAAAGTTATGTCAAGATTTCTTCATGGAGTAGGGAAGCCCATCAAAGTTTGGGCTATCTTAACAGTCTTGGTGATTCTGTGCAGAGTAGGTACCTGCCAGAAGCCTAGCTTCAACAACGCACCAGTCATAGGTGTCATGACTATGCCATGTCAATTTGGGGAAATCGAGGAAGATGGTCGCTTCCATCCCTTTGACAGTAAGACAATGAACCCTGAAGATCACTTTTATTATGGACTATTTAACTCATACAAAACGTAAGTTCTAACTGATTTTGAATAGATATCTTGAGATAGCAGGTGCTAAAGTAGTCCCGATCATTCATGATACTCCTAGAGAGAAACTTTTACCCCTCCTTGGCAAGCTAAATGGGGTACTTTTCACAGGTGGAGGACTAGATCTTGTCGATCGTCAGACCAAAGAATACCATGTTTACACAAAGACATCACAAATAATCTTTGATTATGCTCTCAACCAGACTGATATGGGTGATTATTTCCCACTTATTGGTATCTGACAGGGATTCCAATTGCTTAATATCCTAAAATCGGATGATAAACTAGTCCTCAAAAGTGCACCAGCAAGCTTTAAGCTGAATGATTACCTGCTTCCTTTCCTTGATGATTACTCGGACTCAAGGTTTTTCAGCTACATTGGTGAAAACAAAGAATGGATTTACTCCCATGAAAAATTAGTCATTAACCTTCATGACTGGGGAATTTACCTTGCAGATTATATCTACAACAGGCAAGAATTGAGAGATTTTTACAAGATCATTACTTATGAAGAGGATGACCACAGAAGGTTCTTAGTTACAGCTATAGAAGCGTTTGACTACCCCATATATGGAGTGCAATTCCATCCAGAGAGAACTTTCTTCAGGTTCTCAGACAAGGACAATTACACTAGAAGCGCAGAGGCAAGGATGCTTTCAGAAGATCTGATCTTTTACTTTGTAGAAGAAGCTAGGAAAAATCAGCATTACTTTGAAACCCAAGAAGACCTTGACAAACATATGTACGGGTGCCAAAGGAAGACCTATGGCTACATCCAGTCTACAGGAGAATTCATTCAGCCAATCTTGGTTGACAGCACTTGTCTTGGCTATGATTAATTAGATCAGGAGAATTTCAATCTGAAGCATTCATTGAGGGGTTTTGGGGTTTTGGGGTTTTGGGGTTTTGGGGTTTTGGGG